TCTCTCTCCCACCCCCACTCTCCCACGCCGTTAATTTCGTTTTAATGACAATCCCCATTAATGGTGATCGATCGTGGCGTTTTGTGATGTATCGGAGCCTCGTTAGGGAGAATATGGTGCGAAACGTTGAAAATAGGTAAGGTGGGGCAATTAGGGGGGTGATTGAAGAGGTGAATCTTATTTGGGGGGGACATTAACCAAGTTATCACAATACTTCTTTTTGGTAGGTTTCCAAGGTAGAGTCGGATTTTTGGTCTTTGGGATGTAAACGTATCGTTGAAATGGCAAAGATGGTTTCAATCTATCTTCAGAGAAAACCACAGTCCTAAAACCGATTAGAATTGTAGTTTGCAAGTATTATAGTTTATTCAATATACCTTAAATCCACTAAAAGACCAAGTGTTGCAAATTTATGTTGTTACACTTCATCCTAAAATCACCTTGCACTCATGTTTAGCTAAAAGTGCAACCAAGTGTGCGTCAGCGAAATATTAGTAAGAAGGAAACAAAGATGTAAGGAAAACATGGGTGGAACACTCTGGAATTGGAAGAAGAGGGACAAAGAACGAAATACAAGAGAATTCAAGAGCTGATAAAGAATACGTAGAGAATTGAAGTTTGCGTGAAGCTTTAAACTGGGACCCTTTTGAAAGAGGCTGGGTTTATCGTTGTCTAACTATTTCGTTGCCAGATTTTGGAGTTGTCTGACTTTATCGTAGTCCCACTTTGTCCCACAAGTGGGGTCAGAAAGAGCTATACGTGACAACGACCATGATATTGGGAAGAGAATATCTTACGATCAATCACAATCACCCTTCAACAATCAGATTGATAAAAAAAGATAAATACAGCCGAACGACTCCAAGAAACAAACGTGATAGAAGCTGCAACAGGAAAAGTGACGGTCAAACGACACAGAGAAATGCTACAGAGCAAGAACTAAGTGAAGACGGAGTGGCGGTGAGGTAGTGAAGTATGACGATGAAGAATGTAGAGGGCATTGTCTGGGGCGATCATGCGCAGAAAATAGTTCTTGTCAATTCTGTTGTCTGCAAGTGAAGGACAATCGGGAGGAAATGTTCCGTCACGTCCACCTGAATGTGCAGCAAGCAGCAATCCTTTGTTTATGCTAATATACGTTGTCCGTGTTATATGAAATACTATTGGTTGGTACATAAAGATAAAAGAAATCGTATGATATCCGTTAGATGAGATTAGACGACAGATTAATATTGCTTGAATTTGGCTAACTAGTGAAGCAGTTGCCAGATGGATCCAGAAAATTAGTTTGTGCAAATTTCACGAACACATCTATAATACTTTATGAATAATTAATACCTATAGGTAAGGCAAATTGCTAACAATTTTTTGTACATGTTCGTTAGCGTAGATAAAATCTGTTAACAACCAAAACCAAGCTTTATTACTGTATTTCGTGAGGCTCGCTATCGCTAGGCTCACACGCCGGCGTTATTTCACTTTCTCGTCCAAACAGTTCAGACGTTACAAAAATAATAGGATATTTTCAGTAACTATTACCACCAATGCGTGATACTTCAGTAATAGCATTATTTATCCTATTACGTGAAATAAAGTCCAGTCGTCCAACATTAGTGCACACCAACACAGTTACACACGTATACAGTTTTTATTTTAAGATCAAATCGTATACAATTGAAAGTCTGCAGCAGCGTACAAAGTCAGCGTTTCCACCTCATTTTCGCTATGACCGATGAACCTACAAATCTGCGAAAGCTGAGTTCATCCGCTAAAAATGAGCAAAGTTTACCGCTAGATGGCGAGTGAGATGTCCAATGCCACAATAGCCTATAAATTACAGCGGGGGTATTTACTTGCCCCGGGTCCCACTATCAGATCCACGCCAGACTCGGGTGAAAACGGGAAAATGACGGCTCGGACCGGTCATATTTCTCCGGCAACGGCGTGCTGTTTTCGTTGCTCTTCTGAAATTTGTTGGTCATTTCATCTGGGGTTTTATCTGTTTATAACCAACCATGTTACGAGGTTTGTTGGGGATTATTTTTTAACTTTCTCCCCTTTAGACATATAGGCCTATGGAGAAAGTAGTGTTAAATTAATAGGTTACGTGCCTTTAGTCCGTCTCCAGTCTTTAAATATAGTCTTAAGGAGGACGGAGTTCCTCGGGGAACAACGGAACAGGACAGGGCTTAGTTAGCGGCCCCATTTTCAAATCCACATTAAATTTACACAAAATTAGTCATCCTTAGACTGTATTTAAAGGCAAGTAACATATAATATTATTTGCACAATCAGTCTTGCTGTCAAAAATGTTTTAAGTAGTATTTTCGGCAACATTTCAGAGTTTTTGGTGGCTATATCAGTTTTGGATCCCCCCAAACCCCAAAACGTGGTTTTCCAAGTGATGTCTGTGTGTTTGTGTGCATATGTGGACGTGTTCGTGTACACAGTCCACACCTGTGGTCCGATTTAGATGAAATCTTGTACGTGGATACTAATTCATGGTATCCAGGTGTTTTTTTTTATTTCTTTGAAATTTAGATTTTTAATTAGAGGTTTTTTTCATAAAACTCATAAAATATCAAACATTTAAATTTAAAAAAACTAAAAACTCAATCATTTTGTTTAAAATTTAGTGTGTTATAGACCTTTGGATTTGAAACAAAATGGTATAACCCCCCCCCCCCAATCGCTTTAAAATTACAGTTCGTAATCAGAAAAGGTTTTTGTGATTTCGCCCCAAAAAACATTGTAGTTAATCCTACCACCCATTTTACAAATTGTTGACAAGCTAATGGGAGAAAGTAACTTATGTGTCAGATTGCTGATGTTTAATATGGGTTTTTATTAAATAAAAACCCAAGTGGAGGAAACAACATCTTTATTTCGATAAAGCCATCTTAAGAGAGAGAGAGCATCTCCAAGAAGAACTTCCCACCCTGAGTCACCTCGCAGGGTGACAACATGACAACATTATATATCTAACTTTTACGCATAGCATATATAACAGCTGATACAGTTAATTTTAGCATTGAATGAGACGCTGCAAACCAGTCACTAAATCTTTGTTCACATAACTATTTCATTGAGTCAGTAGGCTAAAGTGTTGTATAGGGAGGTATTTTTTTCCACACTACTTTGTTTTTAAATGGCCTTTCCACACATGGATTTAGTCCAAAAGAACAGTAGTTTGCTACCTGCAATCAAAGAGATTTCATTTTCATTAGTACTACCAGAACCACAAAACCACAGAGAAGTAATAAGTTCCTAGAGGAAAGATTGGTACACTTAAGTGGTGTGTAGTACCACGGCCACCTTTAACTCCAGGCCGCGGCCTAGTAGAATCGGCAAGATAACATGGCAGACAGGTCACACCAGCTCATTAATTCGTATATTATTCTTTAAAATTTTAATTTATGAACATAAATTTATTGAAAGATTGAAAATAAAACATCGAATTAAAAACCAAAACAGTATTTAAATTGAAAATCTATTTTTGTACATTTAAAGTGAAGTACATATTTTCATAGCCCAGTAACCAAGCTCATATTCTTAAAAACATACACAAATACCATTAGCTGCCTCCAAACAAAACAACAGCTGTTACAACCCTACTTGCGATGTTGCTATTTTGAAGGCCGGCCTGGAGTTAAAGACGCCCTTGGTAGTACTAGTTGCTTGTGTCTAGGACAAAGCCCACCCCCCTCGTCCTCATGTATTACAATGTTTTTATGGTTTTACCATAGATAAAACATACTCCCTTAGTAGATTTCCCATCCTTATGGAACATCTGAAGCCAATTTTATCGTTAGTTCTGTCCGGTGCACTGTAGATGTCGTGTTTTGTGGGTGGAGTTTGGAGTTCATAATGGTTACCCAACGCTTCCTAATGCGTGCTCTTAGAGAATTCTTACTTTATGCCATAACTTGCAGCCTGGTTTGTCAGAGCTTACACCTCCCTAAAAAAAAAGCGTTGATGAATAGTGAATGCCGAACGGAATGAATTAACAAATTCGCTACCGATTGCCACAGACCGAGGTATACATTTTAATATTACACATAGACCCCCGATAAATCCCCCACACACTGTCGAGCATGTTGCTAAACAAGTCGGGTATAGATTCAGTTTTGAGATGGATTTTGTGACTACTGTAGCTGAATGTGCTGGATTTTTGTATTTGAAATGTAAAAAGAAGAAAATAGTTAGTGTTGGTGAAAACAGTGGTTGTTATAGCCAAATAACATTGTTCTACAGTAGTCACATTTAGTCTGGGCGCGTGGCCGCGCTAGGGCACGGGGTGTTGGGGAAGTGTCTTTTGCTCATTTCCAAAAACATTAGGCCCACACGGCTCTGGGGTTGTTCAGCTGTCTTCATGGCTAGGTGAGGTGGAGGGTGGTGGGTAAAGTGTACACAGGACGGCTAGTAGAGACAGAGCCACATGCCCAGACTGCTTGCGTGTACTCTACTAGGCTGCGGCCTGGAGTTGTTCAGCTGTCTTCATGGCTAGGTGAGGTGGAGGGTGGTGGGTAAAGTGTACACAGGACGGCCAGTAGAGACAGAGCCACATGCCCAGACTGCTTGCGCGTACTCTACTAGGCTGCGGCCTGGAGTTGTTCAGCTGTCTTCATGGCTAGGTGAGGTGGAGGGTGGTGGGTAAAGTGTACACAGGACGGCTAGTAGAGACAGAGCCACATGCCCAGACTGCTTGCGCGTACTCTACTAGGCTGCGGCCTGGAGTTAAAAGTGGTGTGGACGCAAGTATGCGACTTCAGTCTATGGTTAAAAACCGGTGTGCGTCGCTGTTATATTATATGAATGAAAAATTGAGTACTATTGCGTTTGCAAATGTGGTTAAGGATATACCCGTGATTTGAAACACTGAACTAGGAAAACAACACATAATTGTGAAAATAAGAGATGATTCTGATATGTTTATACTCAGCCATAGGAACCAAGCTTAACATCAAAACTTCAATAGAGAAAGGGTGCAATAACCACATGAAATTCACAGTGGCATAATTTATTTACATTTATAACTTGAAATTATACACAGCAATTTATAAACTTTTAACATCATCAGAGTATCCAGCAATTTTCAACTGTAATATTTTATAAAATACAAACAACAACATTAACAAATAGACACTTATAATAACGTGGGTATATATACAACAGTAAGGATAACTGTACAGTTAATACATAAACTTATATGGCCACAAAATTTACCACCCTATATTTTCATGGCGAAAACGACAAGAGAAAACAATAAATTATAAAATCGAGACTAAAATAACAATATGGCAACGTAATTGTAAATAAACTAAAACTTACAAAAACTATCGACAACTAAATATTTACATGACTTACACTACTTTTATCACAAAATCCCCAAAGTCGGTTATTTAAATAACTTGGGGGTTAACTATCGTACCTGTATTTGAAAGGGAATGCAAACGACTTTGTAGCAAAATTAGTTCTCTCGACTCTAGCAGTCGAGAAAACAGCAACTTGTGTTGAAATGATTAATATAAAAATATATTATCAGTACAATTGCACATGATCGGCTTTCACTTTTTGAGACACTTAGGATATATAACAGTCTATTATACTTAGCATCCAGGTTTAAGGGGGAAATATAAAATTAAATTTAAAATATTGTAAAAGGTGAGAAAACGTTTAATCCCAGAGAGAAATGTAAGAAAACCATTGAAGGTTAATATTCCAGTTTGTGGGGGCTTTTTTACAAGAAATATTTTGTTCCAACATTTATTTAATTTAAACTACAGAACTTTTAAGGTTACCTTCAAATCCAAAATAACAATGAACAAATAATTGACACTAGGCACCACTGATATGCTGAAGCCCTCTCATATTTTCAACTACATTCAAGGGAACACAAAAGGAAAGTTATTTTAGAGTAAAGTACACTAAACAAATTTTGGGAAAAAACTAAATGAAAAGAAAAGAGTATAAACGTTCATAGCTTTTTAACGTTGATACGGTATTTGTTTAGTTGAAACTATTAAAAACATGAAAAAATAATAGATAACTGAATCGTTAAAGTACAAAGATGTTACTATCCGCAAAATATAGCGATAAAGGGGAAAATTCTAACTATATAGCACCGACATTGTTAAAAAGGTAATCAGAAGTACAAGCAACAAGAAAAATAAAGATAAATGTATTATCCATAAAAAATAACAAAATTGAAATATAAATTGTACAAATAACAAAGAGAAGATATAGAATCACAATATCGACATAACATTTTAGAATAATTTTAGACCAATCACAACAAAATATAAACAATCATACTTTACATGTATCACAACATAAATTTTTACAATGCTTACTTTGAACTAAAAAATAAATACAATATTACATTTGTATAACGTAATACAGTTTTAAGATTGTATAGTCCAAACAGGCACTTGATATAGTGAACATTTTACAAAACTTCGACAAAAGCAATGAAAACATAAACAGTAAGGTCAAAACTGGTTGTTTAAGTGTTGTATACTTTATTTAGTGCTTAGTGACCGAACTAAGTTCTAAATTTTATTAGATAATAATCCTTGAAAGTAGAAGGAAAAGATACAAAAAGAAAACAATGATGGTTTTGTACATTTACAATCATTATTTTATAAGTAAATGAGACCATTAAATGATTGTAAAACCAGTGTAAAATCTCACCGTTATAAAAAATGGGGTTTTACAGACCTTACAGTTCATGCATTCATTGACTATATTGAAAAATAAGGCCTCTGAAAAGCGATCGCACCATTCCAAAAATTGACAAAACTTAACACTAGGCTCAAGATATCACAATTGCTGGCGACTGACTTATATCAGTCCCGCGACGTACAAATCCATAAAGCACCAAACACTCACAATCTTTACAAGATCTTTCTCAGTAGTATTACAGTTTTACTTGATTGATACCCAAAAATATTGTTATCCTCAAAATTCAAATGTTCCTCTTTTTTGTAGATTACTTAAAAATATTATTAGTAAATTTATAGAATTAGTTGTACCTGAATCTATTATCTACACACTAACAGAACAAACTGTTATCTACATACAAAAATTTAGTACAAATTCAAATACAGTAGACTCACGCTCATCCGGATCAGCCTTGTCCTTACTTTCGCTAGTCCGGATCGGCAATCGTGATTTTTTTTGCGGCACAGTACAGTAGTAGTCCGATTATCTGAGCTAAACGGGACCGAGACTACCTCGGATAATCAAAAACTGGGATAACACGACAGTAAAACTTATTACCGGTGGAACTGCATTTCCCCAGCTATCAATACTGTGGACCTGGAACAAAATTGAAATAACGGCTATATACAGTACTGTATTTGCTCGTCTCTCGATAGTCCGGATTTTTCGCACCGTACCGGACGTCCGCCACATTAGTCCGGATGGGCGAGAGTCTACTGTATATGAAAAAATATTTTATGCTGATCGAACATTGAACCAATATATAAATATTTTGTTTTCCTTCAAAGCATGTACTGTACTAATTAAAACACCAACTGCTCAATAAATGAGTGAAAATGAGCAAAGTTGTTTGGTTAAAAGCAAGACTTGTTTGCATAAAAAATCAACCACAAAAACAGCACTCAAGAAACACACAGATGAAATTAAACAAATTTCACCCTAAGCGCTTATGCAATCCCCGATTATCATTTCACCATAAATCATATATTTTGGTGAACAAAACAAGAAAAAAACTAAAAGAAACTATGATTTAGACATATTTATGTAGGCCTAAGATAAATTTGATTTTTTTAAATCAAATTGGCCAATCCTGAATTGAGAGTTTATTACATCTCAAATTAAATTTCTGATCATTGTGGACATACCTCGCTCCACTATTCTACATCTGCATTTAAATTCTTCAATATTTCTACTGTCTCGGTTATAAAACAATTTACTCCTGATAAATTTTCTTTTGACAGTAGAGTCTCAATTAAGCGACTTCGGTTATACGACCTTCTTTATACCTGTGGACGATTAAAGACTGTGAAATCACATGTTTTTTTTAGTGGTAAGGTACACAATCGGGAGAGTGTCAAAACGATTCCTTTCCTTGCTCCTGAATGTATTCGGGAAATGAGCACCATGCTTTAGAGAACTGTGCTTGACTGTACTTTCTTATTGTTTTGGCGTACTGCACAACACAATTATATATGATTGACAACCCTGTATACAAGGTGAACAACCCAACTGTGCCACCATTGGTATCTCAAAAACTGTTGGATTTAGAGATAAGAATTAAAACGAGAACTTAAACTATTTTCCTATAACATTAAAAAGATGAATTGCAATTTAAAAAAAAAATTTTTTTTGGGACACCTTGTATTTTATGTTTCTGTGTAGGAATAGTTAGTAGTTAGCGAAAGATAAAATTAAAACCTCAAATCGGTTTTACAACGTAGAAATTTTTTTCATTTCAATGTGTATCCAGCTTTTAGTATTTTCTGATACCGGTTTTAGGTCGAATTATTGAGACTCAACCGTTGCTTAGCTTGACAAACTCTACATACATTTCCGACTAGACAATGACCCACTACATGTGTAGCTCCCCGGGTCATACAATACTCTCCTTCTCCGCCTGCATCTCCGTGTAGGTACAGTTCTTGCGGAGGTTCAAGTCACTGCGACACCCGTTGTTGTTGAACAGTCCGAACAGCCACGAGCGGATGGACGAGCGAGTGATGATCTTCTTGGAGGCGGAGACGTTGTCAAGTGGCATGTCCTCCAATGAGTGCCATCGCTTGTGGTCCAGAAGAGGATCGCACACTAGACCTCCGTTGCCAACCACTCGCTCTCCATTGGGCCCGTTACAGGTCATCAGGTTGTTTTCCTAGGGAATCACAATGTTGGTTACTTTGTGTGAAATCCTTGATAGAAGGTTTAAAGTACTTAATTTCAGTAGAACTCAAATTATCCGAACCTCGATCATCTGGATCGCCAATCCAAACCATCTCAAGACAAAAAAGATTTTAACAAATTTGGCCCGAAAAATTAAGTTTGACGTTTCCAGTAATCGGGTTAAGTATTTGCACCAATCGTGTCCATCATACGACGAGACTATTGTATTGTTGTACTGATTAGCCGGCGATGAGCGTATCCAAAACGGGCAAAAGTGTAAATAAAGTCAACATTGTACATAAGGATGGAGTAAAAAAAAAATAACATATATTATAAGACATATCAATATTGATATCTTACACTAGACGCTTATTACAGGAAAGGGAAGTATATCTTGAAAATCTAAAATATGAAATGTACAAAAGACTATAAAATAATTGAAAACCCAAACAGTAAACTAACATTAATCCAACTAATCAAATACTATGTCATTTATGAAAAAAATAAATTATCTTAGTACAGTAGACTCCCTCTTACCCGGACTCCTCGGGACCAATGCCAGTCTGGATAACGGGTTTTCTGGTTAAATCAAATCAAATCATTCTTTATTTTTTAGTTTCGTTAAGAATAATACAATGGCGTCAATAAAAATACAATAATATAACTTAAAACTAGTAGGCTACAAGTTTTTTTTTTTTTTACAATGTCATGAAAAATTTACTTCAAGGTAATGATTCAGATCGGATTCAAGGAATTCCTTCAAGGAGTAGGCAGGTCTGTCTATCAGCCACTTGTGAAGTTGTGTTTTCAGCGGTTTTCCCTTCAGTGACTTCAGTGATGGTGGTAGGCTATTGTGGACTTTGCGGCCAGTGTAGGATGGTTTTCTGGCGTACTGCGTGGTATGATGTACTGGCAGAATGAAGTCGTTTCCTCGCCTGGTGTTGTAAGCGTGAAAATTTGCACTTTTTGGCAGATCAGACTCACTCACTAGAAGGACTACTGCTTTGATGTAAAGATTTACAACAGTTAGAATACCAAGCGATCTGAAAGCTTCCCTGCAGCTGCCTCAGGTTTGAAGGTTGGCAAGTATACGTATGGCTTTTTCCTGCAGCTTCAATACTCTGTTAAGGTTGCTTTCAGCAGTCCCGTCCCAGACAACAAGACCATATTGTATATGCTACTCCATTAAAGCATGGTACGCTGTTTTTGCTGATAATAAATCACCAATCCATCTAATTCTTCTCACCACGTATACACCAGTTCTGAGTTTCTTACAAAGATCATCGATGTGATTGTTCCAGGTAAGGCCAGTATCTAGTGTAATTCCTAATAATTTGAAATTTTGTACAGTTTTCACATCGGTCAGCTATTTGCTCTGTTTTACGGCTGAAATTAATTCGAACAGTTTTTGTATGGTTGAGGGCCAGATCATTTTGTTTGCAGTAGATTTTTGCTCTGGTGAGTGTGGTGAGAGAGTCTGTGTTCAGATGTTCTGCACTGTTGTTGTGTAAGAGGATAGTAGTATCGTCTGCGTACATGATACATTCAGACGTACTGTTTTCCTTGATCATGCTAGGGAAGTCATTTGTAAATAGAACATACAAGACAGGGCCAAGCACAGACCCTTGTGGTACTCCTCTCTTGACCGGCTGTGGCTCTGATATGTATGTTTTCTTCATTCCATTGGATGATTCTTGAGTTTCGACAACCTGCGTTCGTCCGTGAAGGTAGTTAGCAAACCATGCATTTGCCCTGCCTTTAATTCCCAGGGATGCTAGTTTTCTTGTGATTAGCTTGTGGCCCAGACAATCAAATGCCTTGCTGTAGTCAAGCATTACTGCTGAGGCATGTTTGCGTTCTTCTAGCTGGTCGATGATGAACTCGACAATATTTGTAACTGCACTTGATGTGGACCTTCCCTTAATGAATCCATGTTGGTTTTGGCTGATGAGTTTTTCTTCTGCAAAAAAAGCCATTAATTGGGTTAGAACAATTTTTTCAATTACTTTGGAGAATACGGATATGAGTGAAATAGGGCGGTAGTTTTCAACATCTGTAGCAGAGCCTTTTTCGTGTTTAGGGTATATTTTTGAGATCTTCAGCAAGGATGGGAACTGGCTTAGCGAAAAAGATTTATTGATGATAGTTGCTAACGGAATCACAAGTTGATTTGCACAGTGTTTTACAGCTTTAGCTGGGATCTCGTCAATTCCACACGATAGCTTGGGTTTTAAGTAGAGGTGGGCCGATACCGATACTCGATACCAAAATACTCTCGATACCAGCGGTATCGAGGTATCGTCGATACTCGATACTTGCCTGTTTTGGGTTCGATACCAATACTGACACTGAACCACTGAATGCTACGAATCTTCAGTCAGAGCGCCGAGCGGGTAAATTGCCGTTGCCGTTACGAATCCTAGCTGTTTGCCTACTTATTAAATACACTCGCAACTCGAGTCGAGTAGTAGAGGTTAAGCCGATTTTGTTGATATTTGACAAGTAAATAATAAGAACGGAAAATGTTTGAGTTTTATTTAATCCCTTAACCCCTTTCAATATTGACATACTAGGCCTAATAATAATCGGCAACCTAGACATCGCTTGCGTCATCCATTTCACTGACAGCGACAGCTGACACTGGGTGATAGTGATAGGTAGTGGTGTGCAGCGAGGGCGATGCATTGAAATTTCAATTTGATTCTAAAAAGGGATGTGTCGATTATCGTCATCGATACCACCATCCATTGGTTACCACTTGGACATTGGTATCGGTTCGGTACCAAGACTCGATTGTCAAAAGTCGATTCCGATGAAACCGACACCCGATTTTCATAGCCAACTTAGAAACTATCTAGTTCAAAACAGCGACGGTGCCGGTGACATTGTTTAGCTTCAGCTCATTGCACAACACAATCTACATTTCAAGATGTCAGACTCAACTCACTAGACAACCGGCGCGTGAATGTCCTGCCAACAATTAAAATTAATTATACTAAACAATGTCTGTATCAATAAGTCAGACATTTAGATGTATTATTTTTATTTTTAGTACAAAATAAATAACCTAAACACGTCAAAATGTTCAGTTTCCTCCCTGCATTATACGCATCATTAGAAAAATTATACTCAACGATTAAACTTTAACATCGTCATCGTCGTATGGTTAGGCTTGCTTTATATTGCGCCAAAAAGTAGGTCCATATTTATCTGTACTATCTACCTGATTAAAGAGTTTAGTGAAGTTTTAAGTGCTACTATGACACAATGCATTTATTGAAAAATATCATAAGCCTTAGTCCATGTAGATTTTGTAATGTTATAAGAAATGGTGAATGTTGACAATAAAAGTATGTAACAAAAGTTCTCATTGGCCAGGAGGCGACAATGCATTACCATGTCAGCCAATCGACTTACGTGTTTCAATGGGGCAAATGACGGTTGCTTAGACATCGTTTTATGTGCTTACTGCTTATTGTGGGTGGGAAGGGTATCGGTAATTTATCGTGATTCGAGATCCAATATGTAGTACGTGTTCGTTTATGCATAATGAGTATTAAAGTATAAAAAAACTAGGTTAGTTACAGACAGGTTCAAAACATCGATTGTTCCGATCCATGTTTGACACCCCTACACGGAAGTTGTAGTGACGTCGTGCATAAGGGCCAGGAGGCCGGTTCACAGTGAATCCACTCTGCCGAACCTATACTCTTGGTATCATCGGGAACATAGTCAAACACTTTTGTTACTAAATAAAACTATGACATGTTTTCATGTTTTATAAAAGCACTCTTTTGGAGATTCTAGTCCCAAAACATAATCTCAATTGTAGGCTAAAAGTAAAACTTATCTATTGCCATACTTTTCTTCACATACGTCGACTTATTCTACAATCTCTTTAAAAAATACCAGGTTTCAGTCAAAATACTTTTGTAAAAATTGACAGTGTGCTGTTTGAACACAGTCAATGCTTGACCACGATCGTTTTACTCACTATAGAGAAAATACTCTCCTTACAAAAAGTATTTATAGGCCAAGATGTATGTAGTTTTTTTTAAAGTATAACTGCAATTAATTGCTTTTAAAAATAAATACAAAAACTGTCAAATGACTTAGATTAATACTTGTAGGCCTAAGCCTATTTATAAATTAGAGGAAACTTTATTAGATCTCATCACAGTAAAATTCAAACATTTACAGTGTTTTAAAATAATTAACACTCAGAAACGTTTGTGTAATGGAACTCTGCAAGCGACTGACGCCGAGGGTGAGGGAGGGCATGTGAACCAGGCTTTAGAGCAAACTTTCTCTTTTCTTACCCCATGTCCCGTTAGACGGTGGGCGGGGCTTCACACTAAATAAACACTCAGTTCATTCATTCACAGTAGAGAATAGTTTTTGTGGCAGTGACGTATGTCTCTTGTCTGCTCTTCATAGCTCACACGTAGATTTCTTTCGAGAAATTATAAGTGATAATCTTTATTTAAAATAAGTGAAAACTGTTGACATTTTCAAGGAAGAAAAGTCAAGAAATAAAAGTGTTAAAAATAAAAAGGTTGTTTGATTAGTTATTCTGTATTTCAAAAATATCCTCATTTATGAACGTGTTTTCAGCTAGACTTGGTGACTTTTTCATAGTTAAACAAATTTTGAAGATATATAACTGTTTTTCATACAACTAGTGAGAAACTCTCATTATATAGGAAGTTCGTTTTTACTCTCTTAGGGGAAAAAAACTTACATAGTATTTGTAGGCCAAGATGTACATAATCTTTTTAAAATTTATAGCTTAATGAGTTAACTAAGACAATTGATGCAATTTCAAATAAATACAAAAACTGACAAATGACAGATAAATAATTATATAAGCCTATTTATAAATTAGAGGAAACTATTAAATCTCATGCTTTAGTCAAATTCAAACATTTACAGTAGGCCTATTTTAAAATAAACACTTAGTTCCATATTTTTGCAATTGTTTTTGCAATTAATAATAAACCTTTAACACCAAAATATAAGTTTTATACACATACATATTGTGTTTTTTTTATGGTATAACAGTTTATAATATTATTAGTGGAAGAAACTGTGCAAAAAAGATAGGTATCGGAAGTATCGGTATCGATAGGTATCGAGAGTACTTTGGTGGTATCGGTATCGGTATCGACAGTTTTTGGTATCGGCCCATCTTTAGTTTTAAGGTTTCTATGGCGTCTTTTACATCTCTGATGGTTACGGGTTGAAACTGAAATTGACGTGGGTTTGTATCTATGCATGGTGAGTGATTTGGCTGTTGATTTGTGGTTAGAGTTTTTTCGCCAATCTGAGAGAAGTAGAGGTTGAGATGGTTTGCTATAGTTTTAGGATTTTCTTCCAGCTATCTATCTATTTTTATCTAGTCTATTTTTAGTTGAAATTTGTGTTCCAGTGATTGTTTGGTTTTACGCTCAGAGTTTACGACATTCCACAATGCTTTGGATTTATTTTGTGATCGAGCAATATGGTTGGATATAGCTTTTTGTTGAAGATTTCTCAATTTTAGGTCATAATCTTTTTTTCTAGCAGTCATGATGGCTTTATCAGCAATAGACCCTGAGATCTGAAATGCTTTCAGGGGGTTCAGATAGATCTCTTTTAAGTGACTTGCCTCTTCGTCACGGTATGCGCTAGGTTTTGTTTTTGTTAAGCCGACGTCCCCAAAAACTCGTTAAAACGGACCGTATACGGTGATATTCGACTTAAATTTAGGAGAGCATTGTATTTAGATATGTGATTACTGCTCTCAAATCTTTCCCACGAGAACAATTGTTTCAGCACCGGCCATTTCCTGCCGATCTAGTCCGGTTAAACCAATGTGCTGATAAAAATTGTCCGGTTAAAGATATGTCATTTCCGTCGAGTGTAGTCCGGTTAAACCGATGTCCAGTTAAAAGGTGTCCGGATAAGAGGGAGTCTACTGTAATATGAAGAATGGTTGAGGTATTCTGGGACAATCAGCTTAGGTACACCTTGCATATAATGAAGCACCTGACTTAATATAAATACTTGGTATATTTTTTTATCTTAGCATACAAACAAAAATTATGATGCTCCCTGTAGTACTGTATTAAAAATAATAAAGTAATATAATTCCAAATCATTATTGGAATAGTATCATTCCACAACATTGTCCAACAATATGGTCCTTACACTTTGTTTTACAGTATTTACAAATACAACCTTTGAAGCCTTCAAAACATTCTTCCAAATAACAAAAACAACCAAGCAAGTGCGATGATATACTTCACTAACCCTTGATCACCATTTCATGCAAGTTCCAACCCACAACTAAATAGTATATTTACAGTCTTCCTTTATCTAACCAATGTTGATTGAATAGGTTAAGCGAAATTACAATTTGCATAATTGACCAGCTTCCATACATGCGCGAACTCGTTAGTTTTACCTCAAATATATTAGTCAGACCAATCCCTTTTGTTAGTCACTCTGAAAACAATAAAATATATTCAGAACTTATAACTAAAACTCTCTAGGGAAAACCAAACTTCACCACTCATTTCCTTAAAAAAAACATTTATCAGTTTAATGCTCAGTGGTTAAATACAGAGCAAATAGAATAACGATGCGTACAAACAGTAATGAATACGTAGTTTATTCCCTTGATCAATTCTATAGCTCTACAAAAAGGTATACCTACTACTAGCAAATTAATTATCAGTTTAGGAGTCAAACTGACGAAGCAAACAGAACTCATTTTAACTACGTAGAACAAAAAAATACCTAGGAAATCATACAAAAATTAAAAAATAAATTGTATACGGTAGCTTAAAAAGAAATACAAGCAAAAAAATAGTATCTGTATAAGTTTTTGTATCCTTGAATCACTAAGTCAGAGGTAGATGAAAGAGGGGGAGGGGGAGGGGGGGGGAAGGGCGACCGTTCACCCTGAGACCCAAGAGGCAGATACAAAAATGGTTTAAGAGGGAACGCATATACTTACGAGATTGTGAAAAGCGTTTATTAAGACCAAAAATAAAGGTCTGGATTCAAGGTATTTTAACAAGAGGAAGTTATCGGCAAAATTACTATTCTTTGAGTTATTCATAACCTATCTCTAGCCAAATCAAGTTAACTACCTGTAACGAGAGCAAGCTGCGTTTGACAGTTCCGATCTTCTCCAGCCGTTTGTCAGGAAAGGGGTCTAGAGAGTGAGACTCTCGCACCAAGCGGCGCAGGGGTCCGGGAAAGTTGTTGGGCACCCCTCGGTCCTCAGAGTTGCCCCTCGGCACCGAGGACTGGCGCCGCTCTAACCGACGATCCTCTCCCATCTGTTTGGGACTGCGATGAGGTCGGCAGAAGAGAGGAGGCAGCTCGTCGACGTTAACCTGCAATCAGCCGACGCTTGTAGAATCAGACTACTTCGGCACTATTCAAATTCAATACAAGCCTGTTTGTCTTTTTGCATCACCAAATGCCACAAAACTTTGGAAAAATCTTCTACAGTAGAACCTCTCTCAATTGAAACAACAATTATTAAAACAGCAAAATAAAATAAAAACACAAAAATGCATCAAACACAAAAGAAATGAAAGTTAAATGGCCGAACAAAGAGGATGGCAAAGGATTCAAAGTCATTGCTTTTGACAATGCAAAACTATGAACACACTATTTGCCTATACGATTAACAACAAGTGTCTGCTAGAAGTAGAAGGTCCTGGTTTAGGGTGAAAAATGGAAAGCTGGTAGAGCACCCTGGTTGCAGCTTTGACCCCCCCCCCTCCCCTTTGCAGGAGTCCTCGGCCCTTCAGCCCTACCCTGTAAAATTTTTGAAATTTAAGTTTCTGAAAACAAGATCTTACCCTAGTTTGGTGTTGAAATCCTGACTAAAGTTAGTGATATCTTACGTGTTTTTTCAAACTAATAAAAAAACATTGTAAGAAAACTTTTTGGGAAATTTGAATACCAGATGAAATTTTATGAATCATCATGATGAAGAACTTTTAAACGATATCCTTGAATGATAGCAGATCAAACAGCACAAAAAGCTCTATTGAACTAGATATAGTAAGCATAAATGTAGTTAAGCCATTTATTCCACCAAAGCAAACATTAAACACCCATGTTGGACTAAAAGGTTTCTAAGAGCCAATTACACCGATCTCGTTTATAAAACATTGAAATTTTTATTTCCATCAAAGAGAATAATAGTTACAAATTCATAGTTAACACCCAAATCATATCTGAATTTAGTAAATTACAATACGTTCACATAAGGTATTTCTTTTTTTTTTAGAAAATGATGATTTTGATTTTAAATTGATTTTAAGGGTAATTATTTAGGGAAAAAGCAACTTAACTTTAAATTAACAAATTTTTATTTAAAGAAATTTGATAAATTTTCCTTTTTCACAGTAGAACTCAAAACAATAAATTGAATTCCATATTTTATTGCCATGAAAATTTTTAAAACATGTACGCGTTCAAGTACTAGATCTATGTACTTTAGACTGGGAATCCCACCGAACAATTAATTTTTAAATGACCACAAGCATTAAATTTGAATACTGAAGTAGAAATCCCATCAATATGGAGTAACCAGTTTTACAACGAATCAGATTTTAGTGTAACGAGCTTTTCACATAATGCACTAGATACTAATGAAGTTATATTTCCTCTTAAGTTTTTCCTACTATGACGGTCATATGAGGTCATAAAATATAAGCAGATTGAAGTACACTCATATAAAACGATATTTTACAACTTAATCTTAGAGGTTAATTGAACAAAGTTTGTCAAATTCTAAAACTGTCTACAGCTTGAATATTTGAATGGAATGTCTATTTCAGAAGCGTATATTGATAGAACTATACATTCCATTCCCATGTTTAAGATGTTGACAGTTTTAAAATCAAATTGACATGGTTGAATTGAGCCTTCGATAGATTGCGCTGATGTAAATTACAGATTCCTATTGAAAATGCAGACTTTTTAACCAAGTCAAACTGATAAGGACGACTTATTGTAAGCTATAACATCTTTTCATGGTAACTATCTCAGTAATTAAATATAAGGTAGAAAACATAACTTTGTATAAAAGTATACTCTGTGACTGGCTCATACAACTACGTTCTTTTTTAATGGAATTTTAATGACAGCTGGTCCATATGGATGTTATGTCTATTTCAGTATCCAAAATTCATCTGTTTTATCCTTTCACAGCCCAAGAAAGGAAGCTTGTTCAAACGTCACAATGAGGTTATTTATGTACATCATGTTTGGATTTAACGTCAATTTCCTTACCAGAGCTGCGTTTGACTCTTGGATGATATCATTTGGGTAGATGATTGTCACCGACTCAGTCTAAAACGTAAAATAATGTTGCAATTTGATCTAAAGTATAAGTTCTTCAAATATGAAGCACCAATAAAATCGGGTTTTGAAAAATGCCCCAAATTACGGTTCATCAAGCTATTTTAAGTTGAAAAAAATACTCTACTGATCGATGTTCATAAGATAAAGAATGAAGGATTTTTAGATAAATAGCACTAAAATAATACAAAAAAAAATCGTGGTGAACATATTATGAGTACAACCGTGCTCAGCTCATGCAATGATACTAAAACTCACCTTCAGTATTATTTTTCAATAAGTTGTTATTCATAGATAGTAACAGTTCGTGACTTGCAAGATGAAGGGGGGTAAGTAAATAGGTTTATCGTACTTACACCACTTTGTCTTGGAAGCGCCAAATTATTGTAACTAATTTAAATGCAACATTACAGTAACAAAATACCATATACATATTTAAAAAAGTTAACCTAGACTCAAGTACGAAACTGAACACAAACTGTTATTTCTCTCAGTCAAACCACATCAACAGAGAAAACAATGTTGAAACCTATTACTTCAAACTGTTATCTGAACATAACATGTTACAAGGATAAATCTAATACACTTTAACCTATTATTTCAACTTGTATCAACTACTCTATTACCTATTATTTGAGTTATGCACTAATATTTACTCAAACACAACTGTTACTTATACCGTTTTAAACCACTTCAATAGAGAAACCTAATTTGCAACCTATTACTTCAAACTGTTATCTCAACATAACCTATTACAAGAATTGTAGCTGCTTACCTCTCGTCGTCTGATAGCTCCCTCAGTCACTCCTGTCAGCCAATAGGTTAACACATCCCCCTTCCCCTTCATATGAACCACCCCCCGCTCCTCCATGGTGTATCTGGAATCAGTGTTGCCAACTTGTAAATATTAGCAGAAAAAAAGATAGCTAAAACTAAAATCTTTTGTAGAACTCATCGGGACATCAGCATTATTGACAAAAGCATAGGCTACTTCAGCCAAAATAATAAATACCCCAGAGTTCTGGTATAGTCTAGTATATTAGGCTTAGATAATTAGGTCACCAATAGGGCTTAAAGTTACTTTTCTACACTAGCTCAAGTCTACAACAACCAAAGATTGGAAAATGAGCGATGGTCGAAAAGACGCTTTTGGTCCAAGTGATGAACTATTAATTTTTTATTTTGTTAAAAGCTGAACCATTTTAAAGGCTAAATAATTCACAAAATGTAAGTTTTGTAAATTGCCTACCTTTGTAAATTACCTCCTCAAACTATTCTATCTTTATGAACTTGGTGTCCGTTGACAAGAAATTTTAAATATCAAATTAAAGTATTTTAGAAATTTTTCATAAATTGGTGATTTTTTGTAATTTAAGTCATAAAATTAAAACAACCACCATTTTCAAATATGACTCTGGTACCTACCTTAAAAAATGTAACAAGTTTTATATTCGAAAAAAATGGGTTTGAAAAATTCAAACATAAAATATTTAGGCCTATGTAAAAAAAACGAAATGGTGGGATATCTGATTGAGAAATTGTTTTTGGAAAAATATTATTTCAAGGTTTCTCTTTTTATTTTGACCCATAGTACTATTTCCCGGAGTTTGGCTGTTTACTTACAGGACACCTGTATAGTGATTGTGAATTTGAACAAACTAAAAAGAGAACATGGTTCTATACTACTTACCCTCCAATCTTGATCAAGGCCTGTCTACACTGAGGGCTGATGTGTATTTTCAGAGGTAGTCCGTTGCTCTCCATACGCGAGGCAGTGTTGACGGTGTCGCCAAACAGACAATACCTCGGCATCGTCAGCCCCACCACACCAGCAACCACCGGACCTACGATGGACCGACAAAATAGTTTTGAAATACTATATGTTTACTTTTCCTCTGTTGATATTATTTATTTTCAAAAAAGACTTTTCTAATATCACAAACATCAGTGATGGACAAATTTTGGAGTTGGAATCTAGGTAAATCCTAAATAAACAAGTACAATTCTTATGAAATACAAACTTATTCCTTACTATTTATTGACTAAAGTTTAAAAAAAAGCTTGTTGCCTATGTGACTAATTTTTTAAACGGACTATTCCCGTCTATGCTATTAGAGAGAAATGAGGTACAGAGGACACATTCTATGGTACACTTAATTGCTAAATAACTTCTTGATCAGCATTGTACGTGTTATTAAATTTACGGAAAGTAAAAAAAAAAAAAAAAACTTCTTATAATACTTAAAAGTAAAACATATATTTACGCTTATACTGTTACTCACAAGACGGTAAATATACAAAAAAGATGGTAAGTGGTACTCCACCTACCACTTACCATCTTTTTTGTATATTTACCGTCTTGTAACAGTATAAGCATAAATATATGTTTTACTTTTAAGTGTTAAAGACGTTTCTTTTTTTACTTAATTGCTGTCTAGCTAGTCGCTGGTGTCTAGGGAAAATTCCAACACCCTCTCATATACTACAACTCTCACGGTGGAGGAAGACCCTGTACGAGAGGAATTTTTGCACAGTGCTCATTGCACTAGGTCTTAATTGCTCGTCACAAGAATATTTCCAGCCACATATCACAGATGAAAGTGCATGGTCATAGTGAGAGTTGACTCACCAGTGTGTACTCCTATCCGCAGCTGCAAGGTGTCGTGGGGCCGATGAGCAATCTGATAGTTCTTGACAGCCTCTAGTAGATCCAGTGACATGGAGGCGATCTCCCCGACGTGCTTGTCTCCGTTGCGGATAGGCAGCCCTGAAACCTGACCATGTCACTGTAGTGTTATTCTTATTCAATCAGTGCTTAACTTTAGAAATCATGTACTGGAGCTAGGTATGGTTGAAACCAGAAACTTTGAATCTCAAAACTGAAACCAAAGCTTAAAAATACCAGATGAATAACATCCTAAATCTTGAATCTCAAAACCTAACACTAACCTATTTTACTTACCTGGTTTAGGCTACAAAAATACAGGTAATCAAAACATTTTTATCATAAGATCAAAACTAAATGAAATTGGACTCCTGACCTTGACATAATGATTTTTATAAACCTGTTACAATAAAAATTCAATAATAAGACTAGGCCCCACTAGAAAACCGCTTAGTGCCCATGTTTGCAGCATGACATTTTTTATGATAACAAACGGAATACTTACGACCATGTAAGCGTCTCCGATAGTCTCTACTTTGTAGACGTCGTAACCTTTGATGATTCTGTCAAACAATGTGTACAGGTCGTTCAAGAAGTTTACCACCTGAAAAGATAAAACGGGTCACACACACACACACACAAGTTCGATTGGGGGGAAAAAAATTTGTTAAACCCCATCAAAACAAAATATCAGCAAGATGAGATGAGTTTCCTGTTGAAAAATATCAAACCTTACGCAACAGATTCAAAACAAACAAAAAATATTACGAATGAATCAGCTGTTCAGGCATTTACAACACCTGTGGCCTACAGGTTAAAATTATATGTAAAAAAATCAAATTGTTTATTTATATTGAAATCTCTGTATAAAATAAATAAATACAAACCTGCAGAGGTGTGCTTTCAGCGGACATTTGTGTGAAGCCTACGATATCACTAAAGTAGATGGTAACAAGGTCAAATGACTCCGGTTCCACACCAAATCCTCGCGTTAGTCTTGCTGCCACAGGCCTGGAAAATTGTCATTAATCGATTAATGATCAGTTACTTCAAACAGTGTAAGATATGTTTTCTTATTAATTGACGGTCAATGAATCTGTAATTTTTTCAACCGTCTAATCTCTTAAGTCTTACACCAAATATGAATCATGTTCTGCGATTAGGTCTTCTTCTAACCCGCTAAGCCACTTAAGCACAATTTTTAGTATTTTGTCAACAGTTTTCATGTAAAACTGAGCTTTGCATCAGATTTACACAGGCTAGATAAAGGTATTATTTATTTTATTTCATTTTACTACAATGGTTTTCTGGGTCCACCGTACATTACAAAAGGCGAATATATGTTTTACTTATGTATTAAGTTAACATGAATCAAACGTTGCTTGAAACAGTTATCTCAGGTTCTACTTACGCAGGTAACATCCGATGCAGCAAATCCTCCGTTTTCCGCTTCTCCTCGTACACCTCTAGTGTTCTCTGGTTGACGAGGTCCTCCAAATTGTTGGCGTACTTCTCCATCATGTCCATCATCTGATCCATAATGTTCTTCTGTCTAAACAACAAACAAGTTAACAAGTTCAAACGTGATGGAACCAATTATTAATCAGAGGGTGGTGCCAATTGATTGGATTCACCTACGGCAATTATATTTTGAACCTTTTGTGAAGGCCAAGGTACAAGTGACAAATTTGAGCACACGAGCTGTGTGAATTTGGACTAAACTAATTTATTTTTCACTCTTTGTACGTTTTGGTTAAAAATTTGTAGAACCCCTTCCTTCGAAATGAAATCTATAATCTTCATACAAAGGGTCTTCTCTGTTACATCCCTTATTTAGACGCCCTACTTAACGGATTTGTACGACTGAGGTGTAATTTTACAGTTTATGATCTAGCGTAATGACAAATGGTTACTAAAAATGTTTTATTCAATTTATATCTAGAGTTAACTTTTAAATTCAGTGATTGTGAACAACTTTCTTTAGAACATTTAAATATGAACAACTGATCCTCCAGTTAAATGTTTCGATAATTAGTAAACAAAGGAGAAAACAGTTTATGAAAATGTATTTTAAGCCAGGCTACATTTTTGATAACTATTACTACATTATCTTTAATGGTGTAGATCTAAAAGCAACAAATTTAATTTATTAACTGTAAATTAGTAGTTTTATTCATCTTATAACGATCTCAAAGAAACATAATATTTGAAAAGTTAAGGGTATTGCATTGAATTTGTTTAAGACTCAGAAACAGGTTTTGAATCCTATTAAAATATGCAAAGCTTGCACAGGTCCCATCGTAGCTCTTTATTTAAGATACAAAGTTAGGAATCTCTACTACCTTACGACTTCTTGTGTCAGAGATACAAAAGAGTAGGAATCACTCACTTGCCTTCCCGCATGTTCTTGAGAGACGCTCTTATCGTGCGGAAGTCTGGCCTCAGTTCTGGCTGTTCTGCCCAACATTCCTGTGGAAATCAGAAAGAATACTTCAACGAAGAACAGATAGTTATTCATTCAGCAATCATAATACATAATAATATATATGTACTGGTATATCTACGATATATTTGAGTAAAAATGCAAAAATTTTTAAACTTGTTAAACTTAAAATTGTTAAATAATAACGGATTATATATATACTGGTATATCTACGATATATTTGAGTAAAAATGCAAAAATTGTTAAACTTTTCAACCCTGATTTTTACAGCATTGGGAGTTTAAAGGACTATAACACATACTAAATTGTAATAAAAATCGTTCAAGCTCTTTTTGTAAAACAATTAATTCAGCTCAAATATTTTTAAATGAATGACAACTTATAGGGTTTTTTACAACATCCCTGTTTGATGCCTGTTTTGTAAACTTTGAAAGAACCTTTACTTCAAAAAACAACACACTTTAACGAATAAAGAAGAACATGAGGTAATGTCACCGTTTGGCGGGAGGTGAAGAGGTTGACTCTGAAGCTGCAAGAGTTATTTACGATGGCGTCCGTCATTGGTTGCAACATTCATATTTTGAAAATTATGGTCCAATGAAAAAATGTATGCATATTTCATGCATTTTTTCACGGTTACATAAATTTGTGCATATTTCACGCTTTTCAAGGTCTTCCAAGGTTCCATAGCCGGTGGCAACCCTATATTACCTGTATTATTTTTAACTGTACATTAACCAAGTAAGTAAAAACGTTCATTTTAGGTTCTGAAATACAAGATTATATCTTACAAAACTTGCAAGTTTTGAGATTAGAAATTGATTGTTTTCACCATCACAACTTGCCTGTATGACAGCCAGCACATAGTCCTGTCCAGCCTCACTGTCTCGCAGCTGTTCTAGGTTAGGTCTGAACGGAGCTTCACCCGGGCCCGGCACCTGGCGCACCATCTTGATGATCTCTGTTAACAGTCACAAATATTGTAACGTAAGGTGTGTGTTAAAAAAGTATAAAAACTGCTCAACCAAAAGTTACCGTTGTGAGCAATTGTAGCTTTTGGATGGTTTGAACTAGACCCAGCTGTCCTTGAAAATTGGTTGTGTAAAAAATATATTTGGCAAAAAAGAGGTTTGATACTAAGACTATAAAAAACGGCTTAGGTACCTTATTCAATTTTACCTTTATTCTACACTCATCCTTCACTGTTATTTGGGGTTAAAATACACCCAACAAAATTAGTTTTTAAAATTAAAAAAATTGTTTTTCAAAGCAACTGCAAGGCGCTGCCACTGCAGTTTCAGGCAAATTTGAGTCACACATCCGTTGAATTGAATCTTTAGTTTCTTGACAAGCATTCAACATTAAAAACATTCACATAGCATTCTAACGTAATTTTTCACATTTTGAGAGTCTTAGCAATGCTATTTTACAATGTACTGAAGTAGATTAATTTTACCTGGCACTTAAGATAAAAAAACCTAACATAGATTACCTGAAGGTTCATCGAAGCCACAAGCGCCAAAGGGTCCCCTCCTGCCGATGATTTCATGCATGATGATTGCGAAGGCGTAGACGTCTCCTTTGAGAGTTCCGTCCACTGGGGCATGAGGATCTCTCAAGAGCTCGGGTGCCTTCCATAACAGATCTATAACAAATGACAAAAATGTATAACTATACTTTGTAAAAGCTATTTAGCTGTTTAGTTTTGTTCAAGGAAAGGCTCTAGGCCAGGATTTTGAATTGTAGAGTATAGCAGTTAGCTTATTTTGTAAGAAGTACAGTAGGCCATAGAACATTCAGAAGACAGACAAAACGCACAATTTCATCCCCACACAAGACAACTCTGGCTGCGTTTTTTTTAACCTCTATTTTTAGTTTCCTTTCAGAATTCCTTTTGTTTTGTTTTGACTCTCAGTGTGAATCTTCTTTTAGGATTTTCCAACTTTCGCTGGATTTATGAACTGATCTTGTTATGTTTATGTATTTTCACATGATCCCCCACATCTTTAAATGTTCCACAGCTTATTTAATACCAATCAGGCTGAAAAATCTTCATAATAATATTCTAAATAAAATAAACACTTAAAATACTAAAAGGAACAAAAATCTGTATGAAAAAAATACACACTGCGGTAATACTGGTGCTCTCCGATGCTGTCGTTCTCGGCACACTGTCGCATCTCGTGCAGGCCGAAGTCCGTGACTTGTAGGACCCAGCGGCTGGTCACCACGCAGTTGCTGGATTTGAGGTTACCGTGTGGCATATTGGCAGACGTGTGTAGGTACAGCATACCCTGCGGCAACGACAGTCAGCGTTACTTCGTTTGAAGTTAATTTTTGGTGATGGTAGGGTTGTATCATTTACATCTGTTACTAAGATTTTTTTGTATTCCTCTGGGTTTTAGCCAGGAATTCCTTTTCATATTACTTCAGGCTAGGTAAAGAGAAGGTCATGGAATTATTACATAAATAAAATCCATTTGTGATTGGCCGGATTTGAACCCAGGACCTCAGGGACTAAAGTACCGAGCTCCATTAAAACCCCTTAAAAACATTTGAAAAATGTTTAGATTGTGAAAGGTAAAATTACTAAAATAATTAAACCACATAACATTTTGTATTGAACACTATTATGTATCATTATTTTCTTAAAGTGGTTCCAAAGACTATACAACTTAAAAACACTAAAAAAGGCCATTACTACCTATGTATTTTATACATAACATAACAATCTAATATAGGACTATAAAATTAAAAAGTGACTAAACCTGAAATATTTTAACAAACCGTGAGAATCAATGTCACATTTTTCTGCTATAATCTAAATCTTTCTCAGTAAATAAAAAAAAGATTAGCTAGTTGTTGTACTTTGAAATTGACTTTAAGTTTTGAAATTCTTATAAGAAACAAACCTTAATGAGATCATTGACTAGAGAAGCGATGAACATTTTGTCCAACTTGATATCTTCGTTTTCTACAATATCCTGCAACAAACACAATTTATTGATTAATTTACTACACAAAATGTGTGGATAATTTGGTATTAGACTCACACAAATTACCAACAAAATTTTCAGTTTCAAAACCTGTGTGTGACACGTTTTCTTGGTTAAGGAGATTTTTTTTTTAAACTGCACATCTGTGAATATCCTTGACAGAAGCATAACTAAATACTATGGAATTTGTGTGCACTAAAAATACATGTGATCATTGTAGGCTACTGTGGACATTTTTTTGTCTTAGGACGCTAGGCACGAGCCCGGAATTGTTTTTCACATTACTTCAGGCTAGACCTAGTGGTTAGGGCATTATCACTTGGATAAAATCCATAGGTGATTTGGCGGGATTTGAACCTGGGACCCCAGGAACCGAAGTGCCGCGTTCTCACCACTAGACCAGCTCGCTCCCCTACTGTGGACATTAGAGATGACATCCTTCCATAAAGATGTTAAATTATTATCTATAACAATTGACAACTATAATACTCACATACAGACTACCCTTAGCGCAGTAATCGGTTATGATCAGTATCCTCATAGGCTCCACTGACGCTCCAATGAAAGAGTTAATATTATCGTGCCTAATCTCTCGTAGGCGTCGCATTTCCTTCATCGTTTCACGCGTGATGTCCTTCTTCTTGGAGAACTTGAGCTCTTTTATCCTCACGACGACACCTCGGTATTGTCCAGTGGCTGCGAAAACCTGACCTCCACATCTCGACTCTATTGACGTTGCGCTCACTAAAGACGTCTGAAATGAATTGATCATATAGTGCACATAAGTAGGTGTTTGGAGGAAAGAGCAGATGCCTATGAAACACATGTAAGAAGAAGAAATGGACACACAACCAACTTATCTCAAATTAAATTTCATAGAATTGATAGGCCACAAAAAGTTCACAACACTTTGAATCTTAAATTACGCTCCTGCAAGGGAGCCTCTAGAAGTCTCTAGATGTCAGGGTTTTTGTATGCTATTAACTGTGTGAAACTTATAATAATATTTATTTATCAACACCAGAGGTATTTTTTACATTTTTTGAAAGGGAACGGTCCAAACACTGGTCTTGTTACTGTCTAACATCGACCTGTTGTTAGATAGCTTGACAGCCCAATGGCAAATGACATCTGGGTCTAGCAGCGATCTCGCTTGGAATCAAACCAGGGACTTTCAGATTTGAAAAAGAGCGTTATAAAGACTCGGCTACCCAGGCAATCATATATTTCTTGTTGTCTACACCGGTGCAATTTCACAGGAGGAAGTACTCAAACGAACGCTTTTAGGGCACGTGGATGTGCCAAAAACCTGTCACTCACGTATTGATTCCTGAGAAGCCAACCAATGGGATAGCTACCCAAAACTTTTATTGCGTAAGTATCTATTCCTTCTTCGAATTTTACACAACTCATAAATTCACAATTGGTGTAAAATTGTATAAAAACATCAAAAGGATAGTTAACAATTGAAAGAAGATAACGCTCGCTTACCTTACTGGGTGACGAGACAATATCGTTGTTATAGTAACTAAGTAGATCGGCCAGGTCGATTTTCCAGAGGAGACCTTCGATTTCCTGCTCGATTCTCCACTTGCGGTACATGCTGAGAGTAAAGACGCTCGAACAGAAGAGGAGGATACCCAACGCCATTGCTATGATAACACTGTGAAAACAGACATTGCTGTAAATATTGGTAGACTTATCCACGGTCCACTTGTTTTGAAAATAGGGAAGTAATATTCGACCAAAACTATTCTCTGTGAATACTTGATGAGAAAATTATGGCACTTTATACGATGTTTTCTTGGTGTAATTGAGGCTACTACAGATTTCCAATATAGGACTTACTTTTGCTTGTTAATTCTGCACAGTGAAATACACAACACATATCAATTGTTCTAAGAGTTCAACTTTTGTTCACTTTATTCAAAGATTAAGTACGGACACTTTTATAGGTGAGGGTGAGACGTACTATGTATTAGAGCTGGAGATGGCACAGAGTGTTTTGTTCTATTAATTTATAAGAAACTACAAGCGACTAGTGATTGGTAGAATTTGAACCCAGGGCTTATGAACTGAAGTTCTGGGCTCTAACCATTAAATGAGATTTGCCCCTACATTACTACATATCCATTACTTTAATCATTTGATAACTATGAATTAACATGAACTATGAATTTGATCATTATTATTATTAATATCTTACTAATAATTTATAAATTCCCTGCAAATGCATAGGGGCATCACTGTGTGTTTAAAGCACCTAGAAGAAATGGACAAAAGCCTTAAAAATAGGAAAAGCTAAAAGTACAAGAGACAACACAACATGAGCAAACATAACTACATGTTGCAAAGGCACAGTAACATGAGTAACATGAGCAAAGGCCAATCGTGCATATGGCTCCATGGTTCAAGTGTACACCCGCTACAAGGCAACTCGCACTAGCATCAATTTGTAAACAGAATCACACCAATAGTAGCTCTGCAGCTGACGTGTACGCTTTAGTGTGTCTAGACAATTTTTTAAAATTATTGAATCTCTGGTCTCACGCGAGATAAGGAAGAAACATTACCGATGCAGTTTAAGGCCCTAATGCAATGAGTGAGGGTTAAGTGTGAAAATGGGTTAGGGAGTTTAAAAATGGCTGTGAAAATGTCCATCTAGTAAGGAATTGTTTATGGATTTTTTATGCATTACGAGGAAGAAGGGGATGAAGTGTTAAGTCAAATCATTGCTTGAGAAAAAATATATGTATCTCATTTAACCCCTGAATCCAAGCAGCAATTATTCATGAAATTAGCAATTCAACCTTCCCCCGTCAATGTCAAAGCTAAAGCCCTAACAAGGCCGGCCCGAGTGTTCCTCATAATTCATCTGGCTCCAAAAAAGCTCAACTCGATTGCTTGAATGATATATGAAAGGTGTTAGATTTTACACTTGATGTATGTCAGAGCTACCAACCCACTCTCCTGGGAGTCATCTTTGGCGCACAGTTCGTTGTGGAAACCGCAGCTCGGCTCGTCGTCAGGCTTGCGACCACCGACCCAGTCCGGCTGGAGACTCGGGGAGTTGAGCTTATACTCCTGAAACCCATACAGGCAACACCACGTTGTTACTACCTCACTAACAAAGATAAGTTTAGCTTCAGCGTTTAATATAACTAAATAGAATTATAATAGCCCTTCTGTGTGCAATATCAAAAATTCCAAACTGTCAATTTTCCCAAAATACTAACTAAAAATTAAATAAAAATTTGGAACATGAATGAAAAATTGAAATGTTCAGATAGTAAAGTAGCCCGCAGAGAAGTAAGGTACAGAGGAAACATCCAATGGTACACTTAAGTGGTGTCTAGCACAGTTGATGGTGTCTAGGGTGAAGTCCTACACTACCTCCTCGTCATCATGTACTAAAATCCTCACAGTGAAGGAAGACCCTGTACCATAGGGAAATCCTAGGTCTTCCTTACTTCTCACAAGTATATTTCTGGGCATACCAGATTTGAAAGTGCATGGTCTTCCGTACTCGCATAAGTTTCCTCTGTTCCTTACTTTTCTGTGAGTAGCCTAAGTTTAGTGAAACAAAATTAATAGTGGTCAAATTGGAATGGTTCCCAATTCAAAGCATCTACTTAACACTGTTAGTTTAAATACACAAATTACTTCTAGCAATGAAATAACCAGGGTTAAACAACCATACAATGTTAATGTATACGATTGGTAACGTTTGAGTATGCTGATATCTACTGATGTGTCGAATCTGAATCTCGAATCCACCGAATCCTAAGAATAGGTTCAGATTCGAGATTCTATTAACAAGGTTCGAGAATAAAAAAAGTATTTTTTTTTTTAGAATAGAATTATAAGTCATATACTGTGACATTGACTTACCATAGAGGTTATTGGCATCGTAGTATACAGTACTGTGACATTGACTAACCATAGAGGTTATTGTCATCGTGGTGTTTATAAGACAGTGTTAAATGGTTCCTATTCCATTCTTGCTTTTTTAATCACCATTTGTAATTTATTTTTGGGACTCAAGATTAGTTTTTTCAGGATTCGGATTCGAGATTCAAAATTCCTGGACTCGACCACCACTACTTAAAAGGTTATTACAATTTAAATCATAACAACCAAATAGAAACACATTGTTTTTCCTCCGTTACTAAACCAAAGGATAAAGCACACTATGACAAATTACCCCTAATAACTAAGAAACATTCAGTCAACATAAAAAGACTTAAGCGTTACCAGAGTGAACACACACAACAAAACCAACTTCAGGTTTCAGAATGAAAAGTATACTTGCATTATCTACAGTGGTATTACTTTAAGTAAATTCTTACTGGAAGCGTATCTCCTTGGAAGAACTGGCCGACCGGGATGAAGTTGTAGTCGCAAGTGAAGTTATAAGTGGGCATCTTGATGTAGTGATAAAACTTCTTGAATGCGACCACTGAGAAATTGCCTTCCGAATCACCATTCAAGTCTAGCTTGTTTGTTGCACCTGTTATACCTGATCATAACAACATTTTGATAAGTCAAATCGGTGTAATTGATTGTTTTATTGTACGGTATGACACATAAGTTGAGTTTAAGAATTTGGGTTTGTTTTTGTGGAACCCTTGTCAAGAGAGCACACATAAAATACGGTTTAGGTTTTTAAATGATACCAAGACCGATCGTATTTGATACAAATCTTTTGTGAAAATTTGATATTGATGGAACCTTAATTAATTGTTGGATTACTAACTCTCGTACTTTCTGCTTATGAACATGGACATAAAGTTACTTTTGTAGCAACTTACTCTCGTACGTTCTGTTTTTAATGATGGTCTCGATGATTCTAGTTCCGTTAGTGGCAACTTGTTCGACGACTGTCTCATTTAGTACAGGTTCTTCCTTCAACAGCTTGTCTAAGGCACGAGCATACAACAACACTGCGTCATACAGGTTGGCGGCTGTTACGGAGATGAACTGAAAGTACAATTCAAATATAATAAACCTTACAAGTGCGGTTAGATGATACACAAAATAAGACTTTTCTTTTTGATTGACAGGGGAAAACAACTAGAAGTAGAAATTACATAGTGATGTGTCAAATCCAAATCTAAAATGCACCAAATCTAAAGCGTGTGCTCCCACTATCTCCGCGTTCCGCCACCTCCGAACCCAAATCTGTCCCGCCACCTCCGAATTCTTGAGTGACCCTTATAATCCCGTCACTGCCTGCGTTGTTAGCTGTCATTGCATCCATGGCTGCGAAGCCCCGTGGATGGAAGATTTAATGAAAATTTAACCCGTGGGTTAGGTTAGGTTAAGTTAGGTTAGGTTTGGACAGAAAGTCTTAACGCAGGAAGTAACCGAGGATTATAGGGGTCACTCTGAAATTCGGAGGTAGCGGTACACGGAGGTGGCGGGACGCGGAGATAGCGGGAGGTAACCATCTAAAGTAACTAATCAAATTCATGAATCAATAGCTTGAAAATCTAAGCTCAAACCTGACATTTAGTTAAAAATTCGGGCCTTCATTCAAGGCAGTAATTAATTATAAGTACGGAAAAATTAAGAGAAATTGTTATTTCTGATTCCTCTCAAATTTTTACACTGTACAAAATACCTACATTGTAATTTGTAAATGTGTGAAAATAATTGTGTGCATTGTTAGATTGCAAAAAATATTTTGTTGACTACTGGTCTTTGAGTGATGACCTCATCCTTGACTCAAATATATAATATCATGTATTTTGTTTGAAAAACTGACGTGTCATATGTTTACTGGTGATGTATCACAATTAGGCTATGTAAATTATATGTGACAAATAAACATTTCATTTCATTTCAATAGCTCCACTGAAAAACATTGCAGCAAGTGAATATTTTCAGAAAACGCAAAAAAGTGTTGGTCACAACACTGCCAACACAGCCAGTTTCCCCTGCTTGTAAGTTCTGTCAACCTATTTATTTTTCAAAAATATCCCATACAGTTGCATCATTGTTCTTTAAAAATCTCAATTTAAAAGCAACCCCTAAGATATTCTTACCTTGGACATATCACTAGTGGTGAACACAGGAGGTGTAGGGAAGTTGAACGGAGGTTGAGCGTTGTATTCTCGGACTTTATCTGAAAACTCCTCGTACGTTTCAGCCGGAGGGGACGGAACTACGACCAGCAGCGACTGAGCTCTACGCAGGTAGTTCATTTCTTCGCTACAACTCACCAGTGTCTTCCCGGATTTGGGATTCTCTATCCCTACAAAACAAAATTATCACTCTATTGGTTCAACTTTCGTTAAAAATGGAAAACGATATCCCCGTGATCGCGAATTTCAACAAGAAATATCGTTGATTTCGGTTGGTTTCACAGCTTTTATTCAAAAATTTTAATTTTCCGGTTCTTTACAAAATTCACAGATTTTTTCCCGGTCTTCAAAATTTATATAAGTTCCTGATTTTCCCAGTTACCAGGTAGGCTTGAACCTGTGAAGTCACTTGTCCCCATTGGGCAATTCAGCAGCACAATACACACAACACAGTTACCGGACTAAAGCTAAGGTCTTGGCCAACAAAAGGAAGATATTGTATATGTAGAAGCATTGAGAAGTTTCCAAATTCTAAGAAGTTTGTTAATGGAGTGAGATCAACATTACAAAGGCTTATTTGATCTAGTGTACAGACATTGGTAACACTCACTCCAGAAGTATTTGGAGGCTTCTTTGATTGAGTAAGTCGTGAGATCCACAAATATCACCATGTACTCTCCGTTGTCAAAAAGTTGCAGCGCATCCATGTTCTCCATCATGTCCACAAGAGTCTTGGACTGGCCAAAGAACACGTAAACTGAAAAACATAAATGTTGATTAAATCTTATGTCATAGATTATTTAGATCACTATTACATATAATGCCTTCTTTTTCAAAACTTCGCTGCATGTAATTATTATTTGATTTTAATTCTCATACCTAGGTTATTTAAGTTGGGATTCTAAAAAAAACAAAATTAAATTAGTTGTAGATCCATTTATTATCCATACGAAGGACATCTAGGGTCTAGGTTCAAAATATAAAACTTGCTTCAAAGTGGCTTAGCAGGGAAGGCCTAGCTCTAGGAAAACCCGATATCGCAGGAGGTCAGTGACATATTTTTGTCAATGATCTGTGGACCCAATCCCAAGGTTGCCCCAAAAGCAGAAACTTATTCGTAACATAACAGGGGAGGGAAGCTCTCCACAGCAAATGCCAGCTGTTCATTTCATAGTGTTAGGCCAGGCCTACACCACCCTCCAAAATATTAAGTAGGATTGAACAGACGATTTCCCTTGTGTTAAGTTGGGCATTCGATAGTTGAGTAGCTGAGTGGATAAACTGATCATGTAACAGTCAAAAGGTTGCTAGTTCGATCCTGAGAAGTCAAAAACTTTTGATCAAAATCATTTGGCTTTTATTAAATGGCATGGGCCACAGAGAATTAAAAGGAACAGAGGATACACTGTGGTATCTAGTGTGTCTAGCACTAGTCGCTGGTGTCTAGGGCAAAGTCCAACACCAACCCCCGTGTCCTCATGTACTACAACGATCACAATGGAGGAAGACCCTGTGCAATAAGAATTGCCACACAGTTCTCGCTGTTCTGGCTCTTCCTTTCTCGTTACAGGAATATTTCTGGTACAAAATAACAGAGCTTAAAGTACACGTTTCCCATAAGTGTGTCCTCTGTGCCTTACTTCTCTCTTGGGCTTAGAAAAGAGAAACAGCTGGTCTTAGTCGGTAAAAAGCTACACAAGACTTCTCATATTCTACACTCGACCTTCACTCATTTTACTCAAATATTATATTAGTGAAGAATGAAAATACGTCCAGCTGCGTTACTGCCCCATCTCAATTGGTAAAAAGAAAAAAAACAAATCAACCACTACTATCTATTTCAGCAACAATCAACATGGATTTAAAATACTTTGCAGATTTACCACAACACTCAAAATTGTTCTTAGCAGTTGTTATACTCACTTCTAGTGAGGTTTCTGGTTTCTATGAGCATGTTGTACCAGAATCCACTGGTACAGCAGGGCAGGAGATCTCTACAACACTTGGCACTGCTCTGGATGGGACGCACACAAGTCACTGTCATGTTGGCCTAAAACAGACAACATGATCAACACATACTCATGATTGCTAATTGATACAACAAATTACAGACAATCAATTGCTACTAAACACATAGCAAGTATTTGGTCCTATCATACCAGTATTTGGAACTAGTGTTGACCCATATTTTCCCATGACAAGTTGAAGTTAAGTTTGGACTTATATACCACAACTCTATTATATTTTGGATACATGATCATATTCCAGATTCTTTCTTCTTCTTCTTCTTCCATGATCATATTTCAGAACTGTAGTGAAACTTCTCTTAATCTCTTATGAGGGTTCCACCCGCCAACTGGTTACCACGCAAACACGGTTCTACAAAAAAAGAGCCTTATGGCATTATTAAGGTGTTTATTGAGTTGAAATAAACTGTAAAGATCCAAACTATGCCCTGGATGAACTGAAACTGAAACTGAGTGCGGCCGTACGGCCCCTGTACGTATGGGGGCCGAGCACCGTATCCGATGGAGATCGCTCGGCAATACCTTTTGTATACCTTTTTTTTTGCTCTAGCGTCGGTCGAAAGCGGACCTATACCACGTTAGCGTGTAGTGTGTGACTTGAATTTTGTTGTGGTGTATGTTGGTAGTAAATTTCCCCGTAAAATCCCCGTCTGGCAAACTTAAAAATCAACTTTTTGTCCCGTGTTTTTCCCTCCATTTGGCAATACAATTCCAATGGGACTGGCTACGTTCCAAGCAGTGCTGCTATCTGTGGGTGTTTAGCGAGCTACGTCGACTCTCGTCATGAAGCAGGACATCCCTGCACGTTATTTGCTATTTGTCAGACCAAACTTGGAAAGCCAATCACACGCCGAAATCGGATTCGTTCGACGCTACTGGATGCGCTGCACTGGGGATTCGCCTGCCAATTGATGTGCCGCAGCGAATGTGTTAACCCATTGCTAAATAAAGGTAACTTAGTCGCAAAATATTAGCATTTGTACATTAGGTACCTGGTTGGCTTCTTTGTGCAATGACTCCGCCACTATCTCCCAATCATCTTCCCATATGATACAAAACTTCTTCCAATCGTAGTACTTCAACAATGCTATCACTGATTTGGTCACCTGAAAAAGATATATTGTTTGATTTATTAATGTAACAGTCTGATCCTATGTCTACAAAGTCCCTTGAATCATTAATCATTTGAGAGCACCATTGATTTATGGTTTCATCTAAGTACAAAAAACTAAATGGTCACAGCATCATTAAATAATCTCCCACATTTAATTTATTTAATAGTTTAACACTTAAGAGAAATTCAATTATATAAAAATGTAGTTGTTTCTCTTGTTTACAATCTGACGGTGGTTAAACATTCAACTGAAAGATCAGCTGTTAACATTTAAATTGAAATTTAAACCGTTATAAAGAAAGTTGGTCAGCATCACTGAATCTTTTAAAGCAAAAACTGATATTAAAAATTGGTTAAATAGGACAGCTGAAAAGAGGATGTATCAGGGAAAACCTTAATAATTGTTTGTATTTATAGATAGATATATAAACAGATGGATAAGGTGTTCACTCAAAGGTAAATATCTGAGAAATTAAATATAGACACAGGTTTTTTTTTAAACTTATTTATATTAATTGTCCTTTAAAATTTTTTAATGGTGAAAAAATTTATTTTTTTGTGTCTGTCACATGTTTTAGTCAAATTAGTTGTTAGCGTTTTTGTTTTTTATTGTTAAAAATCACTTTGAAGTATTTTTTAATCTAACTAAATTTGCTTCTAAATATTAAACAAATATAATATTGGTACAATACTTTCAATCCTCATATAAAATTTGGTTTGACTCTTTATAACAAATAAATAAAGTACACTTATAAGATTTTTAACTAAGTAAACCAATATTTAATTATCGTTATCACAATCTTAAAATTGCTAGCCTTGATTTTCAAGGACATTCTCAATCATGACAATTCTTTAACTTCAACATAAATAAACCGTAAATGAACCCCATTTTTGTATTTACTAAGGTGCAAAACACAATATTCATATTCAAATGTTTTCTGCAGTTGAAATGAACATGACAAACAATTCAAGTGGTAGTTATAGATGCAAATATATAATTTGCATGTCTGTTATATGGAGAATAACAAGTGGTTAAATCTTGTACCATGGGTCAACAATCTGTGTGTATTAGTTAACGTCCTATGTTTCATGATGCTCAATTGCTTGAAATACAAAATGTTAACAGTACAAACAAAAAGGTAATGAAGAGGTTATGCAGAAAGTATACTGAAAATAATTTTAAAATGTTCCTTAGGGACTTAAGTAATGAACACTGGTATGATGTTTATCAATCTTCGGTGGATGCAAAATTTAATGTCTTTATGTCTACTTTCAGTCACATTTTTAACACTAATTTCCCCAAAATGATGTGTGTAGAAAAAGTATCAAATATATGTAAATGGAATTCAAATGAAATAATAAGGAAAAAAAGTGAAATCCATGAACTAGTAACATATACTAGAGCAAAAAGGAATTCACTGTTATATAAAACAATAAAAGTAAAGAAAAAAGAGTTAAAGGAATCCATAAACAGTGCTAAACAAAAATTTTACCAAAATAAATTTAGAAAATCTAGGAACATAACAAAGACTACATGGAATATAATAAAAAATGAGATTTCACTAAAATCAAAACAAACTGTCCCCTCCAAAATAATCTTAGTTCAAAATGATAACCAAATATCAGATCCTGTTGCTGTGAGTAATATTTTCAACAATTTCTTTACAACTGCTGTTGAAAAGCTTATTTTGCCAAACATTGATTCAACATCAAATCACAACATTTTCACCCAAAAAAAAGTGACTGCCATGACAAACGTTTTTAAATTTGAAACAATAACAGAAGACCATCTTAAAAAAGTCGTGCTGTCATTTGAAAATAAAATTTCTTCTGGGCATGATGAAATACCAATTACTCTAATTAAAAAATCACTACTTTTCATATCAAAACCATTAACACATTTAATAAACTCCTCTCTCATTTCAGGCATATTTCCATCCAAATTAAAGTTGGCTAAAGTTATTCCCATATTTAAAAAAGGTAATCCTAAAGATCCATCATGCTATCGTCCCATTTCAATTTTACCTGCCTTTTCCAAAATTTATGAGCGTATAGTTTATATTCAGCTGTCTAGATATCTTGAAATCAATCAGTTACTGGACAAAGAGCAACATGGCTTTCGAAAAGGAAAATCCACAGTAACAGCTGGTATAGAATTTATAGAGTCTATAATAAATGCAATTGATAAAGGGAAAAAGGTGGTAGGAATATTCTTAGACCTCAGTAAAGCCTTTGACAGTGTGTCGCACAATAAATTAATTAACGTTTTAAATGAACTTGGAGTCCGTGGTAAAGAACTTAAATGGTTTGAATCCTACATTAAAAATAGACACCAGTTTGTTGAAGTGGATGACATCATAGAACATTATAAAATAAACTACATTGAAAAAATTCAATCACAGCATCAGACACTACGATATGGAGTCCCCCAGGGATCGATCCTGGGCCCTCTACTATTTCTTTGTTATATTAGAGGTTTGCCTGGGACTATTCCTGGGAGTGACGGATCCATGTGTCTGTATGCTGATGATTCTAATATCCTGCTAAATGGAAATTCTAATTCTGAAATTGAAACATCTTCTTCAAAAAATCTTCAAGTAACTCATGAATTTTTAAAAGAAAAAAATCTTCTTATAAATGCAAATAAATCAAACTTCATATATTTTTCAACCAAACAATCAACAACAAAATTTGAAGCAAAAATTTGTATAAACAATGACAAGATAGACCAAGTTGAACAGACTAAATTTCTTGGTTTAATTATCGACAAAAATCTTACATGGGACAATCACGTTAAACATGTTGTTAAAAAATTGACTTCTGGTGTATGTGCTTTAAGACAGATGTCTCAGATCTGCAGCATAGACACTTTGAGGATAATATACTTTTCATTACTGCATAGTCACATAGCTTATGGAATATCTATTTATGGAGCAACATCAAAGACCAATTTGGATTCTATCCTTATCAAACAAAAGAGAGCTATTCGTCTAATGATGAAACTGCAAAGAAAACAATCAGCTAAGAGATATTTTAAGGAATTACAAATCCTAACGGTGTATAGTCTGTATATATATGAAGCATCTGTCTATGCAAAACAAATTCAATTGTCATCCACTTCAAGCAATACTGGTGACTATAACACTAGGTTTAAAATTAACCTACCCCGACATAAATTGGAATTTTTCAAAAAGAAAACTTATTATTCAGGTTTGATTTTTTTGCAACACCTGCCGGCTTATATAAAGACGGAAGACAATTTGAATAAATTTAAAAGAACACTAAAAGACTTTTTAATTAAATTTTCATTTTATTCCATAGAAGAATTTTTAAACAATAAAAATTAGTAGCTTACATAATTTGAACTCCATAGCAAAATTAGGGGAACAATTTAAATTTTCACAATGATTAGTAATGCTTTTTCTTTTCTGTGTATATTTTTACTTAAGCCCGGAAAATGGGTATATGTTTTTTATTTTAATAACTGCTAATGTTATTGTGATTGCAATAGTGTTATATTTTTAATATATTCAATTAGAAATTCTTCACCCATCTTAATAGTATATTTTAATTTAAGCACTTTGTAATATGTAGTTATATGTATTTATAGCCTATTTGACTCTATTCAATACATGTTATTTTATGTATAATGAATAAAGAATGATTTGATTGATTGATTGATTGATTTCAGAACAATTTGTCCTGCACTCATTTTCGGGTTAAAATACACACCTAGGTGGAAACCCATCTCAATTGATTATGAATAATGGGATGATATGTCTTCATAGTAGCAAAAAAAGAACATCATCAATCATTTTTCGATCAACATAAAGACAATACTTTCAAAGATAACAACTCATAAAAATATAATCAAGTTATAAATAAAATTATGCAGCGTGAATGAATGAAACTACACAATTGAGTCTGCGACTGTTGAGTGTTGACAACGTAGGAGGTGCTGCAGTCTAATCACTCGTACAACGACAGAATATCAACGATCCTCGGACGTCAAGGATGCATTTTAGACACAGGAAGTCTGTGTCATTACAACAACTCTCAAATTTTATCTGATCATGTGACAAGAGTAATAATGATGGTTTCAAGGAGCTACTGCATGAATAAGGATTTGCAAATTTATAGTTTTAAAAAATTACTGGATTTAACTATTTATACTATTATAAAATTGAGGTGGTGTATGTCTGTCTGGGCAGCTGTCAAGACTAAAATACTAAACGGATACAGCCTAAATTAAGCACAGAGAAATTAAGATATGTAGTCCACACATCTAGGAATGTCATAGGCCTATTCACTTCCCTGAGTTCCTCTTAGGATACGCCCCTTGGATATCCAATGCTTTTAGGTAAGGCTTTCAAAAGTAAATATTAATGGTCTCCATGGAAGCATGAGAAAATTCACAATGTTTACCTTTGCCTTGACATTTGAATGTAAACAATGATAACTGCCAAATGTCATGCAAATGCTCATTTTACAATTTCAGACAGCTGATCCAAAGAAATTAAATATAGGCTATTTTACACAACTATTTGGCAGGATAATTTAATCTAAAACTTTATAATAGATTATTTATGCTAAATCTATTTCAATGATTATGAAACCGATTTTTCTTCCCGTAGCAAAGCACGGGTAGGCTGTAGTAGGTCATAGATAAAACACACTCCCTTAGTAAATTTCTCATCTTTGTGGATCAGCTGAAGACAATTTTATTGTTAAATCTGTCTGTGGTAGAGGTCGTGTTTAGTTTAGAATTTGTATCTTGTTATTTCATAAAACACCGTTTAACCAAATAAAATTATCTAATAAAACAATCACTTGCCCCCCCTAGTTATATAACCAAACAGTAAAGCGCAAATCATGAAAATAAATAGAAACAAAATTTTGTCGACACTAGCGATCATTGTCATTGGACAGGAACTAGACTCGAAAAACAAGCTTCAAAATTTACAATGAGATGGATTACCAATGAATATTATAAATGAAAAGTTGTAACTACAGTAAAATCCGTTTCAATGGCACCCCCAAGACAGCAGAACAATAGAAAACCTACTGACAGACCAACCTACAGCAGGGTCAATTAAACGTGTGAGAACAATCTGATAAGAACAATCAAGACTTAATTAATTACAGACTGACTTGAATACAGAATGCAAGGGGTTTAATACTGCATTTATCACTTCTGTTGTTGTGTATGGAAAACATATTCTATGCATGTATTATTGAGAAAATAATTACCATTAAATAATTTATAAAATATTGTTTAGTGACTACTGTACTTTCAAAATTTAAAAATACCTCCGCCGCAGCAAACCTGCAGGATAAGCGAATTTCCATTTGTCTGAATTGATTTTCAATTAGGTTTAACAAGTACCTAGGTTAGCTGCTACAAGGAAACTAATAAAGTGTGTTTTTAATAAAATATTATTAGCTTAGTATAAAATACGTAGATTTGTCAAGTTTGATCAAAATATATCCATAAACAAGCGAACTAAAACATTTTACAATATTCTCCATTAAAAACGACATGGGAATTTTAAATTTACAATTTTTTTTATTTTCTCTGTTACCAATAACCGTACAAAAAACGGTCTAGAGAGTTTTACATATTTACAAATTTTAAAGAATGGTGTTTTTGGCTTCTGGGGACATCAAAATTAAAAAGTAAATCGGTCCCAGGCCTAGGTCTTACCACGCCACCTACGGTAATAGCTACTTCCCCATAGGGAAATTAACTAAAAAGCGTTAAGTTAGTGTAGAATTTAGTTCAACGTGAATCTTAATACTGACTACAACTACATTCTTCAAGATATTTCAAATTTGATACTCGCAGATAGGGTGCTTGGTTTTATTATTTAAAAGTATACTGTGTTTTAAATTAATTAGGAGATGCTTAATAAATGAAAAAGTTAACATTAGATAATAATGGTAACAATTAAAAGGATTTGATTTCTAAATTAATAAGCGAATTGATAGTAAATCATCATTATTACAAAGTCAGTTGACTGTTACTCAACTTATTCCACAGAATAACACTGAATTAATCACACAGAAATTTACAAAATTCTTACAAGTTTACAAAACAACATTTTAACAACATCGTTTCAACTGGTACATCAAAAAATTTTACTATTGTGTACACATTTAAATTCACCAAGAGTCTAGATGTTTTGACTGCGAGGGAGTACACTTGCCGCCAAAACCGACGCTCTCTAAATAAAAATGATGTAACGGCCGGACCGTGAGCGGAATTAACACACAAAATAAACGAGTGAGACGTCCAGATGTTTAATTAACAAACAGTCGCAGAGACCAGGTGGTCCCGTGAGTCGTTAGTTACCCGGCTTCAAGTTTATGATCACTGACGGTCTTTAGATTTACATAATGTTTACACCACTTTAGTGGAACGTTCGGACCCGAGTGACTATGGTTTAGCTCAAGAAGTTTCTACTTTGTTGTAAAAGTATAAAGGGGGCAATAGGTATCAACTCATTATCATCATGTTTCTCTTTCCATATAATTTCTTTTAAATATATTGAACATGCTCACTAACTAAAAACTAGTTTTAATTGTTTAAAGATTCCAAACAATTACTTCTTTACAAAAAATTTACCATTAAAAAATTGATTTGAACTCATAGTGATTTGATCGATTGCTGATCGTAAGTATATGTTGTTTGAAAAATTATTGTAGACAATTTTCAACACTAAGTAACCAAGCTACAGCCGTTTTCGAATCTGGAACTTCATCTTAGAATATCTTAAATATAAGACATACACAAACTGGGAAACACAAGAACTGGAAACAATAAATGTTTAGTGAAATTAAATTAGAAGGGGGAGGGTGCAAGAACCGATAAAATTCCAATCAACAATATTCACTTAACACAAAACCACAATCACACTGATTTTTTATGTTATGTCCAAAATTGTTTTTAATCCAATGCTGGTCAGATTCCAGACCACTAAAAGTGAAAATATTTACTTTTTACCGTATAAAACTTCCAAAAATTTGATACTCAAAACATATTGTTTAGGAAGAATAATGCAATTCCCACCGACAACCCTGTAAAATACATATAAAGTAAAAATACCATTTGCAAGATGTCATTTACCTAAGTGACTTACAACTCAGTCTCAAGTTCCAAAAAAATGTTATTTGTTCATACAGCAGTTAAAATGTATAATCTACTCCTTATAATGGTTGAGCAAAATATAATTTTGGTTGAATTTAAGAAACATATTCGTCTTATTATGTTATTTTTTGTATTTAGAAATGGATTGCAATTAAAAATTCTTCATACGAAAATGTAATGAACTGTAAGAGAAAATAAACTTAATTGCAAACTAAATTTTAACAAATTTTACCTGAGTATCTGGAGGTTCTGTCCTGACAAATGTTGGCACGGCCGACGCACGATGGTCCGAACATTTCTGCAACACAAACAAACTTGTCAATGTTGACATCAAACATGGCTTCTAGAGCAAACGCAGACAGGTGAACAAACAGCTGTATTGTCACAAGGGAGCGAACGTGTACATCTTGGTCGTTCCTTAAACTGGGTTAACGTAGTGGACGTTCCGGTTGACTTGAACCAAACATAAGAAAACAACCTTTTTAACCAGTCTTATTTAATAATCCCCATGAAAGTCTTGGTTATCGAGGTTCTACTGTACTACTTTTCTACTTGATAACAATATATAAAATTAAAACCATCGACTTTGGATACAATTCTACTATTGACCTTTCAGTTTGCCAAGATGTGAAAGTTTGTGTGTAAAAAAGATTTCACTGAGTCAACGACTTAATTGAATCGAGTTATGTTCACTCTAAAACTGGCCTTACCAGGTAATTAAATGTCTCATTTTGTGAAGCGCAGATAAAGTCAAAGCTAAACCTTGAGGATATTTCCCGCTTTCAACCTTGGGAAAATAAATTGGTAATGAATGTCAACGAAATCTTTACAATCAGTAAACAGCTGATGGAGGATTTCAAGTCATTAAAAAGTAACAAATCATAATAAATATAGGGTCACTTAGTCAGGGAGGGGCATGTCTAAAGGCCACTAGTTCTGTTAGTCATTAAGACATATACTGGGAGACTAGGAGGAAGAAGAAGAGGCAGATTAGAAAAAATACAAGTGAATGAAGATGACATTCACAAGCTATGGGTAGGAAAAGGAAGATTGAGGAAGGAGAAAAGATGAGGAGAAGGGAAGAGGCAAATCTACAAGAACTGTAGCAACAAGCAGTGAGGAATAATGTAGCGGCAAGCAGTAGCGGCTGGCTTCTAAAAGGCCCCCGCCGCAGCAAACCTGCAGACTACGCGAATTTAAATTTGTCTGATTGGATTTTGCTAAAATATTTCCATAGAAGTCATATTTATTCGCTATTTAAATAACATTTGATTCAACAAAGACTTAAGGTTTGCTACTATGGGGAAGGGAAACAGTATTTTTTGATCAAATGTTAACTGTATAGGATGAAATACAAACATTCGCCAAATTCAATCAAAGTAATATAGCCTATCTATAAAAATGGAACTACAACAGTTTTCTTTTTATCTATGAGAATAACATGGGAATTTTAAATGTACAGTTTTTTGGAATTGTATCCATCCTTTAAATAACCAAAACCCTCCTTAAATTCTTCACAGGCTTGACTAACCAACAATAACAAATCCTGGAACCTCTCGAAAACACTGTTCTACAGCATATTGAAATCCGTAGTAACTGTTACTGCTACATTCACGAGGTCGTTAGGAGTGACAAGTTTTTTGCAACCTCAAATTAACAGGTTGTTGGCAGCTGTGGCGGAGCGAGATAAGAAACAGGTAGTGCGAGTGTATAAATAGACGATCCCACAACCGGCCAACATCCAACTCTGACATTTTACCATCAAGGTCTCAAAACTGGTTGTATCTTTAATGGTTGGTGACGCACTATTTTTAGTCTCCCTCCCCATTCATCCAGAGACGAGTTTTTGCAACCCTCCACATTTCGCATTTCTTGTGTGTCTGCGGATTGTTGCAAGTAGAGTTGTAGAGTTTGGAGAGTTGGAAGGAGAGTAGTGCTAAACTATTGCTTTCTACAATTACCATAGTCCGATCATGCTGGTTTGCAAACTCATTAGAATAGTTGTATGTTTACACGTTTGTAAAAAATTTAATTTAAATCGAATGATTTTTACATGAGTTATCGTGCTAACAGACATATAGGCATTATAAAAGACGGTGTTTTTGGATTCTGGGTATATCAAAACAAAAAAAGTAAATCAGTCATAAGTCCAGGTCTACCTATGAGATATGGTAATATCCTATGTAGGAAAATCGCTAAAAAGTGATTTTTAAAAGCACTATTTGTATTAACGAAATAAATATTTTGTTGTGGATTAAAAGGCTTTATCGCTTAGCCATCTTGAAAAGAGAGTTTGTAAGTGTAACATATTTAAGTTACGGACATTGACAGGCCATTTACTACAGAGCTTTCCTACTGATACTTTAGGCTATTAAAAATTTTGCTTTATCTATCTGAAGGAGCATTTCAGTCTTCAGTTTCAGCATTTCAGTTTTGCAAAATGAATATAGAAGGAAGTGTCAAAAAACATTTTGATGTGAAAAAAGTTTACAATTACTGTAGCTACGAATGTAAACATTTATTTTCAAATCTTTTTGTTGCCATATAAAAACTTACTTTGGCTCCACTTCTATAATTCCATCGAATGTTTGCATAAAGAACATGTGTGTAGACAAAACTATAATTATTAGTAGTTATGAATTGACACACATTGTTTTATAGCCTTCTTAGTAAGAAACACACCCAGGTAAGCTTTGATACTACCATAGACAAAAAGAATTAAATATAGACCATCAGCTGTGCTGGGGTTACACCGCTGGGAGCGCCTTGTAATTACAGCCTACATGCTACGTAACTACACGGCGCTACCAGCGGTGTGCACCAGAACCTATGGGAACCATGGTAACCACTGCACAGCTGACAGTCTATATTTAATTATATTTGTCTATAATACTACACTAATTTATGTCTCCAAAATAAGTGTAGAATTCACAGTAAAATGGAGATCTTTAGTTACCTTTGGTTACAATAAGTGGTTTAACACATTTGTTGACATCATAATCAATTTGCCTTAAGGAAAAACAATTGTCTCTGTCATTTTCATTGAATGTCAAAAAGTTACTTGGAAACCATAATTTCTCAAAATCAAATAGAGCACAGATAAAATTCTTGATGAAATTATAACCAGGTATAGGATACAGCAAATTTTTCTCATTTGCATACAGTAGTGTATAACATAGAATGCAACTAGGGTGGTCAATAATAAAAATGGTGAACAGAAAAGGGCCAAGAACAGACCCCTGGGGTACCCCCATCAAGGACCTCTCAAAATGGAGATGTCCCAGAATGTAAAGATGCCAACTGAAGAAAAAATTTTAAAAAATCCAATTTAATTTTTTTAGTCCATAACAAATGTATAATTGGATTTGTTTGGACCTTATCTTAAAACTGTCTAAATCCATAAATCATGTAAATGATTTTACTAAAAGTGAAGAATAAGATTTGAGTTAAAACCATTAAGATTCCACACACAAAGTCAATTTCCTTTAACATAGAAGCATTAAACAAATTACAGATGTACCAACAATGAAACCGGTTCAATGTTTGACACATGTAAGATGATCTCATAAACAAATTAGACGAGTCAAGCCCAGCTGGAGTAGAACACAGGTGTGTACTTAAAGCCAACGACAACACGAGCGGCCGAACTGGCGTTGGCTCAAACTGTCTTCTTCTCGGAACCATTTTGTATTCCGAGATCGTCAACATTATTCATACTGCTCTGTATCTTACTTTTAGACCACAGCACATCTGTTCACAACTGCAGTTACAAGCAACATTCCAAATATTGCATTATTTTCAGTATTATTATTTATGGTAAAACATTATTAAGAAGTATTATAGAAAAGATTTAAATACATATTATTTCTTACGTTGATTGACTACAAACAAAATTAAGATATTTACTAAAAAGTTATTGGTGCAAGATTAAAATTAACTGTTAAAAATGATAATGATGATATTATTTTTGAAATATTCAATGCCAGTAATAGTTATTAAATGTTTGGAGGGGAATGGTCCAAATCTGGTCTCATTACTATGGCAACAGATTATTAAATTTTTTATGTATTCATTCCCAGAAATAGTTTTTACATATTTTAGAAAGGGAGGGTACAAGTCCTGGTCTTTGTTAACAATTAAATAGTTTGTTGTATTTTACCAGTGACAGTTTTACAGATTTTGGAAGAAGAAAGTTCTAAAACCTGGTCTTGTTAATATGGCAACTAAATGAATAGGTGAACCTAATTTCAGTCATAGTTGTTTTATGCATTTCAAAAAGAAAAATTCGAAACCTGGTCTTGTACTATGGCAACTAAATATAAAGGTGTACCTAATTTCAGTCATAGTTGTTTTTTCACATTTCAGAAGGAATAACTCCAAAACGTGGACTTGTTACCATGGCAACTAAATATTTAGGTGTACTTAACTTCAATGTCAGTTTTACTCATTTCGGAAAGAAAAAGTCCAAAAACTGGGCTTGTTACTTTAGTAATATATTGATTTTCGTTCTGGATGAAAACAACAGCATATGGATTTGAAATTAGGCATCTAATTTTACTCCAAAAGATAATTTGCACAGTTTGTAAATTAACTACATCCCAAAATCAAATGAATACATTTATTTTTAATATTCATAGCTTATATTGATTTGTTGCTAGTTGTTATTTGTGATGTTTTATTCTGTTACATCTGTTAGCCTAAAAATTAAATTGTACGCTTTCCTTTTATACTGCACATTACTGTAGGCTATTTCTTTTATTCTTTGACGTTTTCTATAGCGATGTAATGTTGACAAACGACAATAAATGGATTCTTGTTCTTACATTAAAACAAATCAAGCTGTAGAAATAAAACTTTGAAACAACAACATGTAAAAATAACAAAGAAACGTATTATACCTACTTAACAAAACTACAGGACCAGATAGGTATAAAAAATGACCTTGAGAGTAGACATTCTATTATCAACAGTTACACCGATTATATAACTTATACAGCCTTGTATGGTGTACTAAACACTCATTCGTCATTGTTATAAACACTCATGGTAATTAAAGTTGACAATATTACAAACACTAAAGAATGAATTTAGTAAATTGCAAGGGGTTTTAAACATACAAAATTACCATATTGTAGTGACTAGGAGAAACAAATACAGGGTGTCCCACGAAGAGGTTTGATTTTATTCTTCTTGCCCACTTATACACAGACCATTTTGAAACTTTACACAATTGAAAAAGTAAGTTTTAAAAATATTATGAAAAAATGTCAGCTCCCTAACCTTTACAGAAACAAAATG